TGTTTTTTGTTTAAATGCACTGCCATCAGCATGTCTGATGAAAAACAGACCGCAGAAGAACAGCAGACAGATGAAAAACAGACCACATTCGCAGCGGCGTCGTGTCTCTCAGGTGCTCGTCAGGGCAGTGTTCATCTGTACAAAGCAGATCAGTTTCCTGAAGGCTCTCTGGGTCCTGCTGACTTCCTGTGGAGGCCCCGGGTCCCTGACGCCTCAGACAGACAGCTGTGGATCTGGATCCAAACGGCCCTTAAACAGGTCAAACACTGAGGCCAGAAACAGACTCAGATGCAAATGCTTGAACATCATGTTACAAGCGTGTGGTTTCTCATGTAACACTGGATGTTGTTTGTCGCTTGTTTTGTGTGGTAATGAAATGTGTTATATGGATAATTGTCTTCTGTGTGTCAGGATGTGCTGTCGGAGCTGCAGCTGGTGTGTCAGTGTTTCGAGGCCGTGTCCGTCTCGGAGGAGTCTCGTCCCGCTGTGGAGCTGCCTGCAGGGAGGAAGAGGAAGAGAGACGAAGCTGATGCTGAGCAACCCTCCAAAAGGCTGTTGGGTGACGGGACGCGGCCTGCAGGAGCCCCTGTGCGCTGGCAGTCCCCTGACACAGCCATCACCATCAGGTGCCGTAAACACATGCTGACCTCTGACTGATGATGTCACGTGACGCTTTGTGATGATCAGTGATCAGAAACGTGTCGGTGCACGTCCTAATCATTTGTCCTCTGAAGCAGCTGCACTGGCCGCTTTGATCCTGTAGGTGTTCTGATGTCTCTGGTGTCACAGAATCAGCTCTAGATGCTCCAGCGATCTGATGTTACTGTAAAGCACATGTCGACTCGGGTTAGTTATAGCTGTGAAATGTGATAATTCCTGATGTCCTGTTTAGTGACCTGACCATGGAGATTGTGCGCTATCGTCTGATTGGTCCGCTGGCCCACGTGGTGCTCACAGACACACTCCATCCAGCCAGTGAGGTGAGAGACTGCTGATGACATCACACTCACGCTGATGTGTCCGTCAGTCACTGACGCGCTGATGAGTGACTCTCGTTACTGTAGGAGCTGAGAAGTCGCAGTACAGACGAGGCCGGTGTGAGCGTCCATCAGCAGCAGACAGACATATTCCACCTGCTGAGAGGTGAACGAAGACTGACATCACATGACAGCCAGCGCTGCTTTACATGGAGACCAAGATCTCAGTGTGTGTGTGTTGTGTGTTTTACAGGAGTGTGTTCGACAGCAGAGCTCCCAGCAGGCTGTGTGTTGGGACTGACTGTAGATGATCCCAGACTCACTTTACCTCAGAAACGTGGTAAATCTGTACCTGACCTACAGCAGAGCGCAGGTACACATGAATCCGCTGCGTCACGCAGTGAGACGGGTGCAGGAGTGTGTGTGTGTGTGTGTGTGTGTGTGTTTGACCCTGAGCTCAGGGAGCCGCTGCGTCTCCATGCAGATGAACCAGGTTCGAATCCTGGCAGGGCCTGAGACTCTCTCTTCTCACACACACAGCACTGTCTCACTGCACCAGAGTCAAACACACTTCAGGAATGTTTTCGCTGTGATTCTTCTCAAACTCAGAGTGTGTGTGTGTTAGAGGACAGTGGTGTGAGAGATCTGACTCTCAAAGGAGTTGCGGCTCACTGCAGTCAGAGTGCATTGTGGGACGCGTCTGCTCGAGACCGTGTGACGCACAACCGACTGTCTGAGCAGGTAAACACACACGAGGCTCTACAGACTGTAATAAACGGATCATATGGAACATGCTTTTGCTCCGTTTATAATGTCGTAATTCATTAGGTCTAGAGTCTCTGACTGCCTCTTTAAGATATCTTTGTGAACATCTCTTCATATTCGTGTTGATGTCCATAGATCTACAAACATCACAGTCCTCATGACTGGAGCTCCTGATCGTGGCTGTTTGGAGGAGATCTTT